GTGATGTAATCGAACCAAGTCAAATTCGAGTATTGCTATATTCGAATTCAACTCGACTCATATATATCTAGATTCGAGCTCGGGTCGAGCTTGATCGAGTACAAAAAATCGATTCTCGAAACTTGACTCGAATATCTCGTTTTAAACTCGAGACTCGACTCGATAAGGTTAGTCGAGTCTAATCAAGTTTTTTGACTTGACTCGAATGTAAATTCCGTAAAACTTATACCCATAATGATCATTTTATAATTATAATACATATATATTATTTAAATTATAAGTATATTATTTAAATAATCCCGACTCAACGAGTAGCTCGACAAGTCTCGAGTCTCAAAATATTGGCTCGAAACTCGAGTCGAATGACAATCGACTAGCTCGAGACTTGACTCGAACTCGGTCAACTCGAGTTCAAGTCAAGCCATTGACCGAGCTACTCTCGATCTACTCGATTATGACTCGACTCGCGTACATCCCTACTTCTTCCTGCTCTAAGATTGATATTCGGAAAAAGGCCGATGGACTACTTTGATTGGACTATTTCTGCACTTGGTTGCGGTTTTGATTACACTACAGCATTTGCATTTTGATATGGAATGAATTATTACAACTATCTTCTAGGGCTGTAATCGAAATAAACTGAAAATTTGACTCAAACTCGAGTTGATCGACTTCGAGTCGAGTTTAAGTAGCTCGATAAGCTGAACAAGTCAAGTTCGAGTATCCAGATGCTATGTTCAAAGGCTCATCGAGTCTTCTCGAGGTTTTTAATTTTAATTCTTTAATATAGTATTATTATTAAATTACCCTTATAGCCAAAAAAATGGTTGAATTTACGAAATGTTTCAAGTCAAATGAAAATTTTTAAAGGATAATAATATCTTTTTCGCTCAAAAATTATCAAGAAAATGAAATTTTCTGACTCGAATTCAATAAGGCTTGCATTGACTAGAGCCAATGCGAGTCGAGCTCGAGTTCTATGAGCAATTATCAAGTTTGATCTCGAGTTCCAATAATACTACTAGCTCGAGCTCAAGTTAGAGCATCCTTCTTGTATATCGAGTCGAGTTCGAGTATGGCGATACTGGAGTTCAATTCGGCTCGATTACATCCAGGGACGGAGGGAAAGGGGGGCCAGGAGAGGCAACTGCTCCCCCTCCAATTGTTAAAAAAAAAATTTCTAAGTAAATTTTTTTTTATTATTATGTTTTGCCCCTTCAAAAATTGATCAAAAAATTCATTTTGCCCTCCCAAGGACCAAATAATAATGTTTGAAAGTTATTTGGCCTGCTATAATTCTATGGATCACGTTTCAGGATCACGTTCTATAGATGAAATATCGAACTCTAATGATTCAGCTCTACAAAATTTCTTTGTTTGATGCTTAGGAGAAGAATCACGAAGAGGACAAGGAGTTTCACCACTTCTACTTGGTTCTAGACGTCTTTTCTTGAAAAAAGAATCAATTGTCCTGTTGGTCATTACCACTATATTTGCAACAAAATAACAACCTGTAATCGAAATAAAATTGATTGAGAAATGCTGGTTATGGCCTATAGAGATGGGAAATTGACAAATGCAAAAGATTGGTTTCCTTAATTCCCTTACAAATTTCGGCTATTCAGCTTGACTGAAAAGCCCGGCCATCACCCAAGGAAGCCAGCGGGATCCTCAAAATAAAATTAGTATGATAATTGGAAAAGGAAACTAGTCTCAGAATCAACTAAAATAAATACTTATCACCCGAATTCAGAAGGCCAAAAACGAAAAACAATACAAGTCCCTCTCGAACAATTCATCAAACAACTGGCGGGTGAACTTTTTACACCCACATTTCACTAAATAAATGCAATGTCAAACTAACTTGGTAAATGGTAATAGCTTGAAATTTCAAAACTTTTGGTACATCCAATTTCAAAGCTGCGCGTTTCAACTTTTGCAGAAAAATTCAGGTAAGAACTGAGGAGTTACAATTCTCTGCCATAGAGTATTAACATGTATTTTAAAATGAAAAAAAACTGGAGATCAAAGAGGGAATTGAAGTTGGGAGTTGAGAGTTGAGGCTTTTCTGTAAAAAGGAAATAAGAGTTGAATTGGTGAAAAACGACAATTGTGAAGTCCAGAAAATAGTAGGTAAGTTATTTGGACCAAGTCTGTTATTCTCCGTTAAGAAAATAGTGGCAATTCTTTGTTATTTGGATTTGGTCAAAATAACTTTCAAACATTATTGTTTGGACCCTTGGGGGTGCAAAGTGAATTTTTTGATCAATTTTGGGGGAGGGGGCAAAACATAATAATAAAAATTTTTTTACTTAGAATTTTTTTTTTAACATTTGGAGGGGGGCGGTTGCCCCCCTGGCCCCCCTTCCCTCCGCGCCCTGGTCCTTGATAATGCTCCTCAAAATATATCTTATACTTCTTCTACAATCCAAAAGGAGATATTGTCCATTTGGTCGAGCAAGATACAAAAGTACATTCGAGAGAAGATTAGTGATTCAAAATTTTCTATACTTGTTGATGAGACTCAAGATAAATAAAAAAGAGAGCAAATGGCTATTGATCTTAGATTTGTGGACAAGCAAGGCTATATTTGAGAGAGTTTTTTTGACATTGTTCATGTGCACGAAACCAATTCCTTGACTTTGAAGAATGAGATATGTAATGTCATTTCTCGCCATAATCTTAATGTGCAAAACATTTATAGCCAAGGATATGATGGAGCTAGTAACATGCGTGAAGAATAGAATGGATTGCAAGCATTATTTATTCAGGAGTACCCCTATGCATATTATATTCACTGTTTTGCTCATCGACTGCAATTAACATTGGTAGCAACATCTCAAGAGGTAATTCCTGTGGAACAATTCTTTACATACTTATCTCTTTTTATACATTTAATTTCATCTTCTTGCAAACATGTGGACCAACTTAGAGTTGATAGAGCTGATAGAATTGCTGAATTGATTGCTATTGATGAACTTGAGACTGGTAGGAGTCAGAATCAAATTGGTACCTTAAAACGGCTAGGGACTACAATATAGGGGTCTCATTTTAGTTCTATATGTAGCTTATTCACAGAATATGAAGACATTTGCTCTGTCCTAATTGATGTTATCAATTATGGAAATACATCAACTCAAAGAAGTGAAGCTGACAGAGTTTACGATTTCATGACATTCTTTGATTTTGTTCTTGTTATGCATATGATGAGGGACGTTTTAGGATTTGCACAAGTACTTTCTCAAGTTTTACAATGCAAATCTCAAGATATTTTGAATGTCCTTAAATTGGTTTCAGTAACAAAGGATCGACTTCAAAGTTACAGAGATAATGGATGGAATGAATTGTTCATCAATGTAAAGACATTTTGTGATGCACGAAATATAGAGATGCCTGATATGAATGTCATTTATAAAGCAGGTCGAGAAAGAATTCGAAACAAAATGATCCAATTACCATGGAGTATCACTACAGGATTGATGTGTTTTTGGCGACGGTTGATTCTCAAATACTTGAAATGAATAATAGGTTTAAGGAAGATGTAATAGAGTTGCTTATTCTTAGTTCAGCATTGCACCCCAAAGATAATTTTCAAACTTTCAATATTGAACAAATTTGTCAACTTGCAAACAACTTTTATTTAGCTGACTTCACAGATCAAGAGAAGTTACACTTAAGAACTCAATTAGAGTTTTTCCAGATTGAGTTTTTCTGTAATTCTCAGTTTCAAAATTTGTCATCACTTCAGGAGTTGTGCCAAGTGTTAGCAAAGACAGGAAAGTCAATGTGCTGTACTCTTATTGATAGATTGATTCGTCTTATTTTGACTCTTCCTATTTCAACAGTTACAACAGAGCGTGCATTTTCTGCTATAAAAATCATCAAGACTTGTTTGCGTTCTGGAATGGAGGAAGACTTTCTTGCTAACTCTATGATAATGTATATTGAGAAAGAAATTGCTAGAACTTTTGATATAAATTCAATCATTAATGACTTTGATATAATTAAAAGTCGTCGTGCACAATTTCATATATCCCACACAATCAAATAGATTTGTAAATATGATGATATTTTTGTATATGTGAAGCGTATAAGTAATTTTCATTCTATATAAGATTATTTATAATCTTGTGATATATATGTTCACATTATTTTTTTTGTAAATATATTTTACTTTCATTGCTATAGACTCGCCCCAAAATTAATTCCTAGCTCCACCACTGATTACATCCCTACTATGTTCTTGGATATTCAAACCTAAGCCGCACCCTTTCTTGCCCACCTAATTATATATGTGCAAGTAAGTTATCAAAAATTGGACTTCTTACATAACATGACGGAAAATTAGTTACCAAACTTTTGTCCCAAAAGTATCTGAAGTGTTAAGACCTATTGCAATTACGGGAAATTAGTGAGCAAACTTTTGTCCCAAAAGTACCTGCAGTGTTAAGGGCTATTGCAGATGTATCTAATCAGTAGAACTAGACCTGACCTCCCTCAACCAACATCTTGTCCTACTAAGGAATATAAAATGAATACAGAAAGTTATTCGACCCAATAATAGTTACTCCATATGACTGCACATTGTACATCGCATTTATCTACCTATTCTCTCGTCCATATCCTCACTCGTCTCATACCATCGTGATGTTTAGAAACACTAATAAAGTCAAAGAAAAATGGTCGTGTCATTTATTTTTGACATTTTAAGCATACGAAGGCACAAAGGTCAGGCCGCAATGGGGTGGTTTGTGGAGGTTTTCAAGAGCACGAGGACAGGAGACATGGGATAGACCGCCACTCAATTTGGCTAAAATGCTGGCATCTTTGTTTTGATCGCCCTTGGGTTTTAATCCCTTTCCATCATAAACCCTTCTTTATATATATACAACACAAAGAACGACTCTTTTCAATACAATACCTACACATTATTGTTTTATTTTTTCCCTGAAATATCTTACGCATTATTGTTAATCACAAAGAGGACTATCCTTCAATCATCTAATAATTTGCCACATTCTTTTCTAAACATTTTCACATGGCTTCCTTCATTTCCGCTTCAGCTGCCCCATCAGCCACCTTCCTCTGCACTGTTCCTAAAGCAAAATTTGCCATTAGGCAAACAAGTTTCTCCAGCACTGTAAGCTCCACGATCTCCATTCACTAATTACTGCTTAATTATTAGCACTAATTGCTGATCTTTGCCATTAATCTGATTTCGAGATCTTTTTGCTTGCTGCCTTAATTATTGCAGTGTGGTCCATCAGCAAGTGGGCTAAGACTTGTGCCTAAGATTCAAATCTCAAAGGCAGCAACAAAATCATCTCCAATTTCTCGTAGTCTCAAAACCAGAATTTCATGCTTAGCTGTAGGTTTTAACTAATTGCTACTATTAATCGCCTAGCTTAAGTGCTTAACACCTCCCCCCCCCCCCCAACAGTTAAATAACCTGAGCACTGCTCATATATACAACCGCTTTTCTTCCCCAGGCTCAACCAGAAACTCTAGAAATTGTCCAGAATACAATTGCAAAACAACTGTCCATTGACGAGGCCACCGTGACACCTCAAACCAAATTTGCTGACTTAGGTGCAGATTCTCTTGATACCGTAAGTTCAAATTACAATTTGATGGCAAAAATCTTGAAAAACCAATATGTATTGCATTATATATTATATATGTCTTTTTGAATTGAATGGTTTCTTGTAGCTATCTGAGTTGAGCTGGTAAGACCGTTGACCTGGACAGCAAACATGTTGCAATTGAATCTCCAATCAGTTCTCTCAAAGGGTGGGAAAAAAAGTCCGATAGATTCTGACTTTTTATTGTTGATGAAACGTGAACAGGTTGAAATTATGATGGCCCTGGAAGAGAAATTTGGAGTGTCAATTGGAGAAAGTGGGGCTGAGAACGTTGCAACTGTTCAAGATGCAGCTGATTTGATTGAGAAAGTGAAGGCAGCTTCAGCGTAGGCTAAATCAAGATATGTTTTTCGCTTTTAGAAGCCAACAAAAGTGCGGGTAGTGTCTTTGCCGTTTGATGCAGATTGCGGATGGTTTTGTTTTTTCTTTCTTCGGCCCAGCGCTGGGATTTGGCTGAAATGCAGATCCCATGCAGAGATAAATGATGTACTAGTAACTTAGGGAATTCTTCCATGTTTCTTTTCCCAGTTCAGGATTACAAAATAAACCCAAGCCTCTTTTGGAACCTCTCTCAATCTTCTTCAACACTACGCAGAGTATAAGTATTACGTTCATTGAATTTCCCAGTCCAACAAGAACGGCAAAATCCCACTCTACAGCAGATTTGCTTCACTAGCATAAAAGTGTGAGGATATATTATTGTTTAGAAGCAAGAAAATAGCAATAGCATTTCTGGTTTAACAAAGTCTAAAGTAAATTATTTTCACAAGCAATATTAATCTTCGAGGCTGTTACTTTTATTACTACCCTTGAGGGAACGAGGGCCAATTTTTAAGTGCATTTGCTGTTCGAATAGAAGTTATGTGTCGTCATAGCAATAATACGAGTAAAAACAAAATGAGTGCATGTGATGATATTTTGGTTCTTTTTCGATATTTTGGTTTGTTTATCCGGCAACCGATTAAAACATAGCTTGTTTTAGAAGGTCTAACTTAGTTTTTTTAAAAGAAAAAAAAGAAAAATTGATGCAGCAGTGTCACTAAGAAGTCTTTCCATTCAAGATGTTGGCTGGCCGGCTGGCTGGCTGGCCTACGTTGTGGTTGGTACTGGACACTTTATTGCAACATTAAGTTACAGTTAGGGTGTGTGTGATAATTTAACTTAACGCTGAAAAATTAATTTATTTAGAATTTTTTATTCAGCATATTTGATAACTGAATTGTATGACTGCTTAATTTTATTAAGCACTGCTTAATTTGTGTACAAAGTTTTAAGTGAAAATTTTTTATTCAATCTTCTGAAATCTGAATAGATCATACATATCACACTTTCCAGACATGTAACACACTCTTATACATGTTCTTGCACAAAATAATACATTTGCCTTTGTTGTGCCCGACACACACATACACTCACAAGGACACTCACTTAAATATTATTTTTAAATTCTATAATTATTTTCTCTCACAATATTTTTCTTTCTCTCCAATATACAATAAAAGAATTTTTTTTTAAATGAAACTATAATATTTGTACGATATTTCAATTCAATATGAATTAGTTATCAAACACGTATAACTTTATTAATTCAGTAACTCAATACTTTTAACACTTCATTTTCAGACTCAAAATTTAGATTTCAAACTTCGACCTCACTAACTGAATAAACAAAAAAAGAAACATTCAATTACACCATATAGAATACTTTTATCAATTGCTCAAGGATTTTTTGTTAATTTCTCCAATCATGGTTTCATGTTACCACCAATTTGGGAACATGAATTAGGATTAATTGCACTTTACCTTTCAAAGTTCATGAGAACACTTCCATCAGGCAACTGTTTGGCAAATGAACTTTTTGGTGTTTATTTAAAATTTTCTGTAACAAACTGTAAAATTGTAAGAAAACTTTTTGAGCTATGTAAAAACTTTTCTTTTTATAAAAAAAAAAAAGAAACTTTCCTCTTGATTTTTCCGTTTCTTTCTTTTCCTATCCCTTTCCCCCACCCCACTGTTCTTCTTCTCCATTCCTCCTAGCACCGGCGTCGTTGCCGACAAGACCAGTTTCTCTTTTCTTTTCCCCTCATTTATTCTCTCTCTCCCTCGCCACTTCCTCCTTTCTCCCCTCTTCTCGTCTCTTCCTCTCCTTCTCTCCTACCCTCTCCCTCTTTCTCCCACCACCTCCCCTTCCTCTCTCTCCCTTCTGTCGCACCAGATTGCGCATGGGAGAGGGGGAGGGTGGTGGAGAAGGAGGAGGAAAAGGGGAGAGGAGAGGAGGAAAAGAAAGGAGAAAGGAGAAGAAAGAGAGAAAGAGAGAAAAAAATGATGGCAATTGCGGTTGTGGGTTGAGGTGGGGGAGAAAGAACAAGAATAGAAATAAGGGAATTTTTTTTGTGTATTTTTGGGTATTATAAAGTGTGTGTTTTTAAAATTTTGAAAAGTTTTTTAAGATTATTATAATTAAAGTTGTTAAAAAATTTATAGGAGAAAAAGTTGGCAAAAAAATTGTTTGCCAAACAGGGCCATTCTTTACAAAACTTATCCCAAATAATATTTCGCTTACATCATAAACACATTTTCCAACCCACCTTTTTATATTCCCAACCACCTTTTTATCTCACATACATCACATCACAAAAAGTGCTACAGTAATTATTCCAAATAATATTTCAAATAATACCCTATCCAAACAAAATATAAGCAAAATTATCCTATAATGTTGCGCTGTTTGACAAAACACAAGTATTTTTTTTATATGACTATTCAATTACAGCTAAAATGCTCGTAACATGCATTTGAGAATAACATTTTTTTAAAATGAAATTTGCGGTTGGACAATTGCTAATCATTCGTTAATGAAATTTACTTTTTATAATAAAAAAGAGTACTATTTTTTTTTACAGTGGATTAATCGAGGGCTCAATTTTAAAAACTTTAGCATAAATAATGAGTTGGTTATTTTTCATGAAATCAGAAATTTAGGGTTTTTTAAGATCCTAATTTAAGAAAATATATAGATTTTTTTTTCTTTTTTGCATATACTAATAATTCAAGAAGTTTCTTCAGATATTAGTGTGATTTGATAGGAGATTATTTGAAATATTATTTGGAATAATTACTATAACACTTTTTGTGATATGATGTATATGAGATAAAAAAATAATTAAAAAAATAAAAAAATATATTAAAAATTATAATGGTGATATAAGCAAATAAATTTCGACAAATAATCTCTTGTCCAAAACAGAATCATGAAAAATTAAAAAAAGAAAAAGGCAAAACATGAATGCTGAATCCTCGTTGGCTCTGACAATGATGATTCATGCACCCACCCACCCACGCACCCCCACATTACTCCCTTCCCAGCTCCCACGACGTTTCTCTAAACTCTCCTCCCGTCTTCGGGGTCTCACTCAAGGTTCAAAATCCAATCCAACATCAAGATCCTTGATTTTATGGAATTTTACAAGAATTAATCCGAGATACTTAATATATACGGAGTAGCAGAAAACGGGAAAAAAAGGGGAATTTTTCCATTTTTTTTTTTAAACTTTATTTGCATCATGTTATCAAATTTAGACCACAACATCTCCAGCTCCACAGTTCAATCCCGGCCACTGGAACCCTCACCGGCCCCCGCACTGGAGCCACGCCCACCAACATCTTCCGATGAAGACTTCTTCTCCTCAACCTCCATAGCCTCCTCCTCTTCCTCAGAAGACATCCAGACCAACCACTCTTCACCACCGCTTCCGCCTGCGGCACCGCCACCGCCGCAGATCCCCATCTCTTGGCCGGCAAGTGGGACTATTTCTCGAGAATGGGTCAACGAGTTAATGAATGCGTTTGAATGGGCTTCGAGAGCTGTTCCTCCGCAGGAGTTTCCTTCTCTTCTTCCGGTTGAGGTATTCGATCGGCTAATCCTGTCCGCCTCTAAAATCTTGCATAAAGAGAAAAATTGCGTGAGTATTGAGGGTGAAGAATTAGGGCGGGTGTCCAAGGTTGTGGTGGTCGGAGACTTGCATGGACAGTTGCATGATGTGCTGTTTTTATTGAAGGATGCCGGATATCCGGGTGAAGATAGAATTTTTGTGTTTAACGGGGATTATGTTGATAGAGGAGCTTGGGGTCTTGAGACTTTCTTGCTCCTCCTTGCATGGAAGGTAAAATACATAGATGTTCATCCTTTTTATGTTCTTGGCATATTGTTACTTTAGCAGTTTTGAGCTTTCATTTTTGCATTCTTCAATGCTAATCATATACTGTCTTTTGAGTTTGAGGTTTTGATTTCGGATTTTTGTAGTTTTGAGCTTAAGTTTTGTCCCTTTTTCTCGTACAATGGAAAGGGTAACTTTGAGTGCTGATCATAAAGTAGTTATCTTTTTATCACTAGGTGAAAGCATTACATTTTGGAAGGTGAGTTGGATTTCAACAGTAAATTGAACTAGCTTGTTTGCACCAACAGTGGTAAACTTAGGTCATGTATCATAGACAAGGTGCAAAGTGGGAAATTCATTTATTTCTGTATGGTTCTTTTTGACTTGGTAGATTCATATATGAGAGCTAAATGGTAAATATTCGTGCTTTTTTGCATGAACTAATAGTGTTTCTCACGTTTCGAGTTCATGCTTGTTACCACAACTTTTTCTTATAAAAGTATTATGTTTAGTGATGCATGTTTTATAATGCTTTGCTCGATTGTTTTACAGAGTTTTGTTGTTGCGTCAATGACATTGTACAAAAAATTTTAGTTTCATTAATGACCTATGTTTTTCTTTAGGTGATTTTGCCACACAGGGTATTTCTTCTTCGTGGAAACCATGAATCCAAGTATTGTACTTCAGTGTATGGGTTTGAGAAGGAGGTATCATGTAAGTATGGAGATAAAGGAAAACATGTCTATTGCAAGTGTTTAGGATGTTTTGAGGGTCTTCCTCTTGCTTCCATCATTGCTGGGCGTGTTTACACTGCACATGGTGGGATTTTTCGCAGTATTCCAAGTACCCCTTCAAAAAGATACAAAGGCAAGAAGAACCGTAAAGTAATTGTCGACCCCAACTCAACTGCATTATCTCTTGGTTCATTTGAAGAGCTATCTAAAGCTAGGAGATCTGTTCTTGATCCTCCTTGGGAAGGTCAAAACTTGATTCCCGGTGATGTTCTTTGGTCAGATCCATCCATGGATCCAGGTCTTTCCCCTAACAAAGAACGAGGCATTGGTCTTTTATGGGGTCCAGACTGTACGGAAGAATTTCTGAAAAAGTTTGGCCTAACGGTAATTTATGGATGATTATTTCTTCCTTTTCTGCAATCATATCATGTTAATCTTATGCTGTTTGGCAGCTTATATAGATTTTCTTCATATGGCAATCATGGCATTTTATCTTTTGTAGATTCAAGATATGATTGCCTGTTTACTGTAGATATCAGAGTACAGTTTTGGCTTCTTAGGCTTTGACAGGATGATGATCAAATTGCATATGATTTTCTTCACCCACATTAGTAATATTTTGATATAAGAATGTAGTAGTTGATGCAAAGTGTTTGAGGTTGCATTTTGATCGTTTGACTTGGTAATGAATATTATTTAACTTGATGTACTCACATTCATCATAGTCTGTCTATTTGTCCATTTTGAACTTTGAGCCTGACATTCTGACCCTTGACAATTGTTGGTTTATTGACAGATCTGAAGTATAAGTGTGTCTTTTATTTCACATTTCGTCGACATCTTTGCTTTGATTCTTTGATTGCTTTGATTCTTTGTTGGCATTATGAGCTTGATAATATGACCCTTAAGTATTGGTGTCTGGATAGCTCTGCATGACAATGTTTATGGATATTCTATCCTGTCTCTTCGACATGCTTCCTTTGCCTTTCTACCTTGTCGCAACAACCTCTGTTTTTTGAGTCCAATGTCTTGGAACATTATTAGGGTCACTTCAACTGCTCATTCCTATGATAAAATTGTAGGTGGCAAGATTTATGAGTGGTAATGTTGTTACTATTCAATTGTTCTCGAATGGTTCCATTCAATGGTATAAAAGATCACCATATAACAAAATAATCAATTAAAAAGATTTCGAATTTCATTTAGGTTTGCTAGGATTGTATTCCTACCACTTTGACTTTCAAAATATTCCTTGGGCCGTGCTAAATTAGAAGTTTGTTGAAAGACATGCTGGCATTAGATTTTTTCAAAAGAATATTTAGTTTCTCTGGTTTCTCTCTCCACCTATTTCCGTCCCTCTCATGCAAAAGTGATTTGACATCGTGTCTTGTTGGAAATCTAACTTGGGTCATGCATTTTGCTACCTTAGTTAATCATCAGATCACATGAGGGTCCTGATGCCAGGGAAAAGAGGCCTGGACTAGGACAAATGAATGAAGGGTACACCATAGATCATGTTGTAGACTCTGGGAAGCTGATTACAGTCTTTAGTGCACCAGACTATCCACAATTTCAGGTAAATTATTAATTTTTTGTATTTCCTTTTTATCCCCATAAATGTGTTATGGTTCTGTAGTTAGCATTTAGATTGGTCCAACATTGATACTTTTTCTATCTGGTGCTTTTTTCTTCCCCTAACTTTTTGGATCATGGAATTCCATGTTCAGTACAGATGATGGAATTGTGATGAAATCAATATCTGTGCACACCAAGACTGGAATATAAGCAAGCACTTCAATACCTTGTCATACTTGACCAAATATCAAATTTAGTTGAGCTGCTTTAGTAAGTAAGATGATATACAAAAATTTCCTAAAATTCAGATATAGCTAAACCTCTTTTTGCAATTTCCTTTTGAGCATATATAGTGTTGTTGGGGCCATGATATTCATTGCAGGGAAGTCTGGGTGTTGAATTTGATCCAAGTACCACAAGAAGATTCTTTTAATTAGGTCTTGCAGAGATATTGATTATATTCTTGTCCTTCATTGTGTAGTTAGTAAACTGAAATTGGTTAGATAAACGGAATTGGTTTGTTGTTGCCACAAACATTTTGGACTATCAGAATCCATTTAAGAAGGTGCACATAAAGAACGATGTGTTTTCTCATTTTAAAGACCATTAGCAGGACAAAGCAACATGTACAATACAAAATGCTCAACAGAATGATGGAGACATGCACATACACATGGTTCTCAGACATATTATTGACAGTTAGACCACCTAGATATCAACTACTGATACTTGTGTCGGAATCTTTGATGTTCCTTTTCTAGAAATTTTTGTGCCTATGACATCCCTAAAAGAACTCATCTATGTGGTAATTTTCATAGGCCATGCATATGAAATAAATCTGCTTTGCCATCGAGATGGATGACTTAATTTCACATATGTTTTGTAAAGATAAAAATGCAATGAAGCATTGCTTTCTTCAACAACTATCACTGTAGGTTTCTAGGATCAGATAAACTTGAAGGAGTCTAAGCCCTTAAAAGGAATCTATGCCTCTTAAGTGTTGCACATTCTTATTAGTATGTCTCAAAGACTGTTGGTTTTATGAACATGGTGCATGGAGCTGATATATGAGGAGGATGAAGAACTAACTTATTCTGTTGATGATTTTCCTTGCAGGCAACAGATGAAAGGTACCGGAATAAAGGAGCATATATTGTTCTTGAGCCCCCTGATTTTGACACCCCGGTTTTCCATACTTTTGATGCGATTACTCCTAGACCAGTGGTTAGAAATCTTTCCTAGTTACACTTCAAAAGAAGAAAGGATGTAGCAAATCTTCATTTTATATGTTTTGCTCTTAATGCTTAAAAAGTTGGCTCTTTACAGTAGACAATGTTCCTACGAGGAATTTTACACTTGTAGTGCATGTTCCATTGATAAATTTAGCTTTAAGTTCCCTTATCTGTATAAGTTTTGTTTACAAAGCAAGAAATAGATATGTCTTAAAATGTATTGATTGTTGTGGCAGGTGAATCCCTATTATGACTATGAAGATGTGATTGATTCTGATGAAGAACTGGATATGGCATCGATGGTACCAGCTACATGAAGTTATCCACGAAATGCTATATAATTATATACCTTAGAACTACTTGGATATCTGTGCGTGTTGGAGTTAATGGTTCTAGTATTCTCTAATTACAGCAATTTTTTGTTTTCTGTGTAAATTTTATTGGTACAAGTTTCTGTATTGTCCTTTGCTCCTGGAAGCTTGCAGCCCCTTCCACTGTAGAATTTTGCATTGAGTGTCATTTAGTGTAGATAGCAATAGCTTGGAAAATTTTGTCTATGATACTTGTATATGATGACATTCAGAGGCTTCTTTTGAATATTCTGGAGGTAGAATTTCTCTCATCTCTTTTTATTAATCATCTCTTGGTCTCTTTTCGGGGGATTGATGAATCCATACTTCCGAGGCCTTCTGCATTTTAATGTATGCATGAGGAATATCAAGAAACTTGAGAAGTTGCGAGGATGGATGACGTTGGCTTAAAGAGTATCTGAAGAAAACAGAACTGAGGCATCATGCTTGCCGTGAATTTTAATTTTCAGGCATGCCAATTTGGCAATTCTCTCTTTTGAGGTTTCAGCATGTCATCAGGAATCGTCATGTCTGTTAAATTCATTTGCATTTTACTTTTGTTTTTGTTGCGGGATTTCTTTCAATGGGCTGTTCCCAAAATTAAGATTGTTGAACCATTGCATTCAATTTACCGTCCACGGAAGGATGAAATTTCAGTGCCGTAATTCAGATCAAATTCACTTCTCAAGATGTGATAAACAAGTTATCACAATATTTGGAGAAGCATCAAGTAGAAACAAAGAATAACAAATCAAAAAAAAGCTTTCTGTAAATCTAACTCGCCAGCCCAGATAATTCCTGTTGCTGTACCCACAAATCCCTGTCCCGGCCGCCGGCCAGAATAAAGAAAAGATTAAAGCAAATTTGTGGTGTACATGACCTTGTGGTTGCGGAAAAGTCAAGGGGCCAGTTTTATATCATTTTAACCAGGGTGCTGCCAAAACTTGCTCTGACATGGCTGCTTCAGGATTTGCTACTGCTGACAATTTCGATTTCCTTCTATTTTCGAGGTTAGTAGTACAAAACATATTTGCATGTTTCGTTCGAGTTCTACTTGATGTTCAACACCATCAGGGTCGCAGGTTCACCGTCGAGTTTTTTTGCGGGTTCAATCAGACAGTAAGGACTTTTCTTCTTCACTCCAGTGTCATGCCACTGAAGAAACACCGTTTATTAGTTGGCATGGGGAAATTGTTTTTGGAACTATGTATATTTCAAGACTTGCCCTTTGCATTTGCCTGCGTTTTATTTCCATAAGTATATTCTTTCCCAGTTTACTCTTGTATTTATGTTTAGTTAAAAAAGCTTTTTCGGGGCTCCATGACTGCGAAGGAACCTTCATCTTTGCTTATCATGCTTCAGATACGAGTTATGCTTACTGGTCAATAAAACTGATGATCTGCATCTGAGGTTGATCTGAAAATCCTTTTTATTTTCTTTCTGTAGTATTTGAAAATGTTTTGTTTGGAAAATACCTTTTACAATTTCATGATTTTAATTCATGGTGCTTTTAGAATTGGTAAAATTTACCTGTTTTCCATTTAAACTTTTAATACTTAAAGTCTTGTCATGTCACCAACTTAGTTTCCTGCTGCTGAAGGATTGCAAGAGGTATTTTCAGCAAGTCCTAGAAGAAATTTGAGATGGGGATCGATGAATTGTTAATGGTCGCATTGATGCCAGTTCTGAAAACACTATTGATTGCTGTGGTGGGCTTATTCCTTGCTGTGGATCATATTAGCATCTTGTCTGCAACTGCACGTCACCATTTGAATAATGTAAGCTGGATGATCTCTTGTTAAAGTTGAGTTATCTTTGATTTTCTTGAGGTGTCTGAGACGAAATTATTCCAATCATATATCAATCAGGAATTCTGAACAGATAAAGTGAGAACTAGGAAGGAAGAATTGCAATTGGCAGGGAATAAATAGAGAGCAAAGCAATTAACATGGCTTTGGTTGGACAGTTGAATGAAATGACTTGTATAAATGCCAAGATAGTAGGATATAAAAACTTGCTATATTCGATATCTTTGTACTGCTGAGCAATCACGGGGAGAAGAGCTTCATTGGATATTTTCAGTCGTCAAGGTATACAGAGTAGCACCAGTTTTAAGGCTAATCCCTTGACTACTTCAAACAATAACTAAAATCTGCAATCCAATAAGCACTAATAAGAACATTTAGAAAAAAACCAAAAAAAAAAAGTAATTAAACATTTCCAAAACCAAGCATAAGTGACTAATGAATTCCTGTGTTTTGAGATGGAGCAGCTTGTGTACTACGTCTTCTTCCCATCACTTTTGGCCAGCAGCTTGGTTGATTCCATTTCAGCGACCAACATAATTTCTTTGTAGGTTACCTGTTCATCCTTGACTAGTTTCCCTTGAATTCCATCTCTTCCTACATTCTACTGTTTCTTTATTTAAGCTTTATGACTCATTCACAGGTGGTTCACACCAGTGAGTATTCTCCTCACTTTTATTATTGGTTCAGCCCTTGGATGGATACTTGTCAGAATCACCAAAACTCCTCAACAGTTGCATGGCCTTGTCATTGGATCTTGTGCTGCGGGTACATGAACTATTTGATGAAACTTAAAATGGCTACTATCCTTGATTGAGTTGTTTTTCATCTCATCAAGCCTTAGAGATAAAGATTTAATTCACTCTGGACTCTCGTAACTCTTAGAGACATTTTGTAGGTAGACTCTAAACTGAAATTCTATATATATATTTCAGCCAGACGGCAAAACATGGAAGAGGTTTGATAGTTAATGATTACATGCTCGTATCACTTAAAAGTCTCTAAAAGCAGAATTATGCAGTCACACAGCAGTTGCTACTGCTATATCTGGATAATGATCACTGTGAAATAATAGGAGGAAAACTTCATGACAAGATCAACTTGGATCCTGAAATTTAAAGGGATGAAGAAGAAGATGTACAAAAATCTAAAGTCTTCACGAATGATTTAGATGATCTTGGTTCAACTGGTTTTCTACAATCAAATATGAGAGCCTTAACTAAAATGTACAATTTTCACTGCAAGGCACTTCTTTCTTTCTGGACTTTTGTCATATCTGGCAATGCTGATAGGCGTGTTTCTGTTATAGCTGTCACAAGATATCCAATGTAACGACGACTTATGGAAACAATGTTATGACACCCTGAATTTCAAGCAGAGTTCCTTGACAGATTAATTTATACAGGAAATATGGGGAATTTACCAGTTATTATCATCCCAGCAATCTGCGCAGAGAAGAATAACCCATTTGGAGATTCATTTTCCTGCTCTAGGAATGGAATGGCCTATGTATCACTCTCTATGTCGGTAATATGGAACTTTCATACCCAACTTCTAAATTGCCTATAAGTTTGTGCCACACATTTAGATTCTTGAACTTCATGTATTGTTTCACTTGTGCTGTTAATGTTTGTTATTATTTAAAAAAGACATCATATCTGAGCGGGTCATATGCCTAGAAGTTTTTTTTTTTTTGGCAGTGACCAGGAAGACCTTTCAGACAACTCAATGTTGCTTAAGGAGGAACTGTGCTTAAGTTGAAAAGTTTTCAGAATATATGTGGCCTCAGCTTTATCGGCATCCAGTTTTCATACTTTTTTGTTCTTTCAGATAGGGGCTGTTTTCGTTTGGTCTTATGTATACAACATTATACGTATATGTGGAACAGAGAGTGATGGTAACGTCCAAATAAGTTCCACAATTAGCAAAAACCAGTCTGGTGAAATAAATTCCTCAGACAGCTCCAGAGAAGAGTTGCTGTTAAAAGGTTGCCCTAGCTCCCAGGATTATCACGTTCAACCTACTTTTGTTCTCAAAAGATCTGAGGACAGAGTTAAGGTAATTCCTTTTCTCCCTTTCTGCCTACTTCGAAACATGAGCAGTTTGATCATTTCCTTTTCAAGTGCCTTAGTTTGGCCATGAAGCAGAATAAGTGATTAAGACAACCATCACAATGTCACTTGGTGTATAAGATATAACTTGGCTCTGATCAGAGAGCTGTTCTTTTTCGCAATTCCTTGCTCAAATAAATCTGGCAACCAAACAAATATCTTCAGTGATTAATCGCTATGCTAGATTTTAAAAGTCTGGACAAATACTACCTCATTGCTGTGTCTGCATAGATATAAAACTATGTAATTTATGCCGATGGTGGAGAATGGCTCATACATTATTTCCTAATACCTGTTAATGCCACTTGCTAATCTACTTAATCAGCTAACATTGTCGTATTGCAGAAATAAAGATTGTTTGACCAACAATATCAGAGTTATATCCTAGCAGTAGAACACAGTTTTCAACCTTGTGATAAAATTGTTTCTGTTCTTTCCATCTTTCCGTTGAGCTGTTGAGATTTAATAGCAAAGATTTACTGGATAACTGCAAGGTCATTTTGGTTCTTATCTTTATCAAATTTTTTTAGCAAACGTACCACTTTCCAAAGACACCAGAAAAACAAAAACAAAAAAAGGAATCAAATTTCTTGCCGCCCAAAAGTCAGAGGAACAGTTTCATTGATTAGTCTTCATTTGATGTTGCATCATTACATTATTCATGTGGCATCCGTTGGGTTCTTAAGCTGCCGATAACCAGATGCGAAAAACCCTTCAAAACTATTTGCAGGTGCCATTCAAGCAGCATTTGAAAAGTTTGCTTGGAAAAATTGACCTAAGGATGTTGCTGACACCTCCTACTGTTGCAACGGTAGGCTTCTGATGCTTGTTTTTCTCATTTTAATCACTAGGTTTCTAGTGCTCACAAAATAACAGAGCCTCCTTTTTATCCTGGGAACTCAATATGACTGGTAGATAATTTGACTATATACATGATATTCATGCATTTTAGCTAAGAACTGAGGTTCCTTTATGGCAACTCAAAGGACAAACATGAGGATGGAACTATAGCATTATCACATTTCAGATCATGAGCAGTTTTCTAAGCATTTTGCAACTAATTCGTTGAGTTTTCGAAGTAAAACTAACTGCCTGCTCCTGATTAGAAGAATAAAATTCACAATGGAATGTATATTGGATCCTTTTTTGGGCGTTACTGTAATTCAATGAGTACATTATTGTTTTAATATTTGTCCTCGTCCATCCGAATTCAACTTCGTTTGAAAGTAAAGCCAAATAAACAGATGGAGGAAAGTTATAATGTAACTTTTGATTTGATGGAACCTTGTGACCTCTCAAATACTGGCCTCTGCTTAGTACTTTTCATAGTTGTCCTTTCCTTGGTTAGTTATGCATCTCATGAATAATTTGCTTGTCCTCTATGTCACAGGTTGTTGGGCTTTTGATTGGAGTCTCTCCATTGCGGGAAGTAATTGTTGGTGGTACTGCTCCTCTGCGTGTGGTTGAGAGTTCTGTTCTTTTGCTGGGGTAGCATTTCTGCTCTGACCTTAATTCCATTCTCATTGTATTAGTGTAGTCAACTAGTACTAAATAATCTTTGTGACAAAGCTATTTGTTCTTTGTTTGCTCAACGATTCTTAAGCTTGAAATTGTGAAACATTTATTATCGCTTGCCCTTGCCAAGCTACACTATTTAGGAGCTACATATAATGAGAACAACATATTTCAATCTGATAATACAGTACTGTAAAATTTTAAGATCATGATGATGTCAATTAAGCTGTTGTGTATCCAATATGTACAGTACCATTAGCATCCCAAAGAAATTGAATGACAGATCGTAGCAAAATCCATCTTGTTGCCTGCTTTGTAACCTGATAAATGCAGCATATTGGAGTCTTGTTGGTTATTGTAGAGAGACCTATATTCTGGCATTAGTCTTGTCTTAATCAGCATGGAAATTTCCCTTCTGTTTTGCTGTTGAACTGAAACTTATTGCTCAATGGACTAGGATCTGGAGAGCTTGCATCGTTAAGGCGCTTGTTTTTAGGAAGATGTTGAGCTTCGTCAAATTTTCTGTGTCATCACCTTATGAGCGTATTTTGCCTGCCACTTATGCAGTAATTTCTAATTGGTCGAAAAGATGATAGTCTGATTTTTGGCAGGGAAGCGGCAATTCCATCGATGACGTTGATAATGGGTGCAAATCTTCTTAGAGGTGGAGTTTATACTCATTACTAATTGGTTGTCTACTTTATGGTCGCCCACTAATTAGTTTGCTTTCTCTGTATTGGCACTTGGTACATTTGTCCAGGTTTGAAAAGGTCAGGAGTAAACCTATGGATGATTCTTGGCATCATTTTAATCCGGTTCGCTGCCTTGCCTGTTTTAGGCGTTGTTATCATCAAAGCTGCAAGAGATTTTGGCATGGTGGGATCAGATCCTTTATATCATTTTGTTCTTCTGCTTCAGTATTCTGTTCCACCTGCAATGGCCATTGGTATGGTTTATCGCTTACTTTTCAACTTTCTCCCTCTTAAGTTGCTTGATCTCTTCCACTTCATGTCAGCTTGTGGATTTAATTGTTAAACCCAATGAGTGGCCTTAAATCAATCTAACAAAGCCTGATTGAAGTGGCTTGGAATAATTCCATCATGCTTAAATTGCATCTGCTGTGTCTGCTCTGTGGAGCCTGATTTCATCTTTTCTGATACATTAGTTCCTTCTTGATTAGCATGTGCTAGCATTTTGAAAGCTACTTTTTTGGAGTTTTAACATGCGGTCCAGAACTATGAAAAAATGTTCACGGAAGTAGTCACTGTGCACCATGGAGTGGTCCATGATTCTTTCCCAATCTACCACTGAGAAAAGCCCCCCGCTGTGTCCGTAGAATATCGAACAGTCTACGCATATTTTTCCAGCTCTGGACCAGTGACATTACTGCATGGCCTTTCCATCAAAATATCTAGTCTTGCCTCATAATCATGGGCCACCTCGTGCAATTATTTTACCATATTCCTTTTTTTTTTTCTTGATTTACTTGTTATTGCCAGACCTAAATCACTTATCAGTTCTAAACTTTCAAATAATCACACAAGGCAATTTCAGCAGCTAACTTGTGCAACAGTAAATTAGAGAATCCCTTTAGGAAATCCCATCAGGATTGTTAGGGTCGTAAAGGGTATAACTCCAACATGTTCAAAAATCCATAAAAGAGTCTCTACGAATAAGTATAAATATAATAGATTTCATTAAATCTGCACTAATGATAAAAAAAAAAAAAAAAAGTACATGAAACATACACAAAAATACTCATGGCAGAAATTTTCTGTCTGTTTCGTTCACATGTTGCAGGTACAATAACGCAGTTGTTCGAAGTTGGTGAGACTGAATGTTCCGTCCTGATGTTTTGGAATTATGCTGTGGCTGCAATTGCAATGACCCTCTGGGCAACTTATTACATGTGGCTGTTGCTGTGATGTTAAAGCTCCTGATTAGTTGGAACGTAATAATGCGTTGTTGTGATGTCAAAGCTCCTGTTTAGTTGGAACGTAGTAATGGCAATCCTGGCCGCTGATGAAGACTACCATTTCAACCCCTGAAAGCTGTCAACAATCGACATATTCCTCTTCACTTTGTGACAGTAATCTAATAGTATAGTTTAACTCGTCGAAATGCCCCAAAATCCTCAGTAAAAAGAGGTTATTCGTTTGTCCTACACGGTGATCCTTTCTTTCTGGATGTGGAAAGTACTCTAGTCGGTCGACTTTGAAAAAGCCTAAATGTCCATTTAGTTGATATCTAGTCGACTCAATCACACACACACACACACATATAGTTCTTGTTCTTTTAATCGATTATTTTCTGTTACATCTGGCAATTAAAAGAAAAACACAAAAGATCTTTGGTGTTAAGAAGTAGAAAGGGATAAAGAAACAGGAACCAACTTAACTGTTAGAGATTTTTGGTTCTGACTCTCAAGACTTTCCCTTAGGGTTTGGATTGTCCCATTGAACCAAGAAAAAATAAAGGGAAAATAAGAAAAAAAAGATGGTGTACAGCCTGCACTAGGCTTATTTGGTTAGTAATGTGTCTTAGAAAGGGATTAGGTGGGGAATGATGCTTGATGTTAAGCCTGGATTAGATAGGGCGATATTGTGGAGTATTGGTTCAAAGATTTGTTCAAATTAATGGCGAATACAATGACAACGTAGAACTCCGTTAAGATGGTCAAAAAAGTGATAAAGATAATCAGGTTTAGCCGATCTCAATCATTTTAAGCTTCATCCAAAATGCAATAGACTCGTATAGATACAATCAGATGGCCTTAGACTTAAAACAATCCTGGGATCATATAATTAGACTAATTTCATCTGCAATTGAAGTTTTGAAAAACAGTATATGCTTTGTTAATTTTTTTTTCTTCTTTTGAAGGACATAATCACACCACATGCAGTTCTTTTCTTGTTATAAACAACGACAACAACAACAACAACAATAATAGAATTCAAGGGTTGGTAGATGTCACATTGTGATAAATTGCAACTTAATTTACTTGCCCACTGATTCATTCGTCTCCAATCTCCATCAACAAGGATAAACAGGCTGTGGCTGTGATGAATTAGAACCTAGAAATGGCCTCTGCCCCTCATTTGAAGGCATGCAAAGCTATAGAGAAAGACATGGGTCTACTACCACCAATAATGGAGTTGAATCCTTGGTGCATTCGCTATGCTCCATACTACTTCTTAAGTTTTTTTGTATGGCGAAAGCTACTGGCATGGTTTCATATGATGACCTCGGGTCCTCCATATTATTCATTATTGCCCTCGTGATCAATAAAGCATGGATCATGAACTCTGGAAGGACAAGCAAATGGGAAAGGAGAATTTTCTTTCTTTGACATGCAATCTGTTCATTGCTTTAGGTGACGATCAATTCTGCTCTCTCTTTTTTTTTTTTTTTGGTGGGTTGTCTCCCCGTTCATACTGATGAGCCAACAACCTAACGTGAAAATTCACTGGGAAACTTTAAAACGAGAAAGAAAAGTGCAGCAGAGAGAAACAAAATCACTTTGGTGGGTCTGGAATTGGGCGAGTAGCTGAATGCATTTTCATCTTCGACTACGCATGAACAACGTTTTCCATGATATATAGTTGAATGGTAAGTAAGATTAATCCTGTGGTTTCGGCCTTAAGATGGTCAAATCTTGCTTTTCTGATCATATTTCTGTCAATAAAGATGAAGGATTTCATGATTATTTTTTTTTAAAAAAAAAAACTAGGATTTCATAATTATTTTGTTGATGGTACCTGAGCCAAAAGTCAATTGAAAAAAAAAAATCAGATTACATTAAGCAAAGTAGAGCCAGTTGTGCCATACCCATTCTAACATATATATGGTAGAGGAGTACCAAATCGTCCCCGCGTGAATGGTCGGCAGCGCCTCTCACCAGTGAACCTTGAGATCACAAGTTCGAGCCTTCGCTCCGCTGGATTCCTCCGCGCACTTAATGTGTTCGGGCCGGGTTGGGGCGCCGGACCCGAGCCGCAGGGGATTAGTCGGGCCCCGTAAGAATTGATTCGGACACCTCTGTGTCGTACATCAAAATCTACTGTATAACTCAATCTCACTTTCCCTTCATCATCATTTAATTGGATCCATGCATTTGCTGAGCTTCAACGCTTTGCCCTCATCTTGTCAAATTACAAATTAATCACCTACACCAAATGGACCCATTTAATTAATACTTAGTTCCACCACTGCACATTTGTTGGCTATTTCAATAATGAGACTTTAGCCACGTTGCGACACATGAAATAATACGTTTATATAGGTTGTAACATCAAAGCAAGACGATTTTGACTACATCTTTTTTTTTTTTGGGGTTAGAAAAAGGTTTTAGTTTATCGAATAAACTGAAGAAACAAAATAGGGACAGTCATAGAGGGATAATTTCATCTCTTAAAAATGTCATTCCATTAACCAATAAACAACGCTGGAGTGCTGGATTTTTTTATATTTTTTTTTACCCCATGTTTTGGGGAATGCGAACTTACTTGGTGACGAGGAGAAAATGTTGGTTAAGTGCTGGCCTCACGAAATAGAAAAAAAAAAATGAAACCAAACAACGTGTAGAATAATAGGCGGCACACAGATTTGAGGATGATATCATACTACGGTATAATTTATTTTTAATAATATGTAATTATAAAATAAAATTTTATAAATTTCATATAATGTATGAAGACGACGTACAAGATGTAATTTATATCTTACATTTTTTTTAGGTCAAATCTTAGCCATGAACCTTTAAATTGCTTCCTATAACCGTCTCAGTCTCTCCTCTTACGAACAATGAGCGACGTACATGTCAACTCTTTTGTCACATGTCAGAAACTAAATAACCTGATAACTAGAAATGGTAGATTGTTCTAAACACTAATTAGAAACCAAAAAAATAAAAAAAAAGGGAAGTGATAACCAATATCTTGCTACCAATATATATATATATATATATATATATATATATATATAGAACATCACAGTATTGACCATTTCCATGTTAAAATTACCTCTCTCACTAGAAGGTCAACTTTAGGATCATGTTATCAGTTTTAGATGGAGTAGATCTCACATGCATTGGCATTCTTCTTCTACCAGTAAATGCAGTAATATGTATGGTAGGTAGGAGCAAAATCAATCCTCCTGAAGACTGGTAGTAAGAAATCAGAATTCAGAAATAGTTTTTTTTTTTTTTTCCTTTTCCTTTCATTTAATGCCTGTTGGTGTTCCAAAAATATCTTCCTGAAGCCTTGGAGGGGAAGATGTACCTTGGATTGGCGCATAGTGTGACTTGTTAGACACACCAGGTCCTATGGAATTTCATCGTCCTTTCCCTTGATTTCTCAGATGTCCTTCGTTTCACCCGAGAAAGATTCATTGAATTAGCAAAAATTTGGAGCGATGGCCGTATCTCTTTGATGAATGTGGCATCGAAGTTCAGTTTGTTCTGAAACGAGGTCAGTCTTAGGAGAGACCATAGCGAATGGTTGAATTTATATCTAATTAATTGAGCGAAGAACTTGCGGCCAAGTTTTTGTTTTTTTTGTCACTTTCTTCTTTCATAATCTTCCACACTAAAGTAAATTTATAAAAAAAAAAAAAAAAAAAAAAAAAACTGAACTGAATAGTGTGAACTTATAGATTGAACTGTAGACGACAGTGCTTTTATTGGGATTGCTCTTGCCCTGTTCAACCAGGCTGTCACGAGTAGGACTCCGGGCATAACATAATCGAGAGATCCAGAATGTTACGGATCGATTTACAAGTTTTACTCTATGTCTTAATTTCTAATGTTTATATAAATATATATACATATCATCTGTTAATACACGACTAACTAATATTTGAATAAAATATTTTTCGCCATCAATCCATTCGGAGGATTCGGGATAAAATCTAAGATGACAATGTGCTTAATTATATGACCTAACAACATGGAGAGAAAATAGACTAAAATTACTTGATTACACGACGAAAAGCTAAGATGACAACGTCCTTAATTACACGACTTCCAAGCTAAGGTTGTAGCTTCAACCTTTAGCCAACATCTCTTGTCCAAGTCCCCACACACAAAAGAATAGTTTTTTTCCACCCTAAAATTAATCTTTGGTAATTTTATTGTATGGGGGGAACTTTGTAACAACAAATTTGACTTGAACTACGGTTTATCCTTTCAGCTTCAACCTTTTTTAAGTCTTCCAGGTGGCTCGTATACGAGCGTGAAAATGTTGTCGAACAAGGCAAGAACATCGAAGCGGTTGAAGCTGTAACTTTCAGTACTATTGCATTTTCGAAATGAGTAGAACATACATACATAGGGTACAGAGTGTCTATACATACATGCGCCAGCAATTCACAGTCCAAACCATGATTAATTAGATTTCTACGGTGGTTGTAATGTCATTCTCCAATTTCAAGTTTCTTTGATCGCGAAAGGCTCAATAATTGTTAATAATTATGCATGCCACATTCTGTACGAGTGAATGTGCATGTAATACATCCGAATCATGTGGAAGTTTAGATACATATTTAGCAGCAAAATTTTGACCCTAAACGGTTGAAATTTTAGAAAGTAATTAATTTGGCCTCAGGTGTTGATGGCGACTCTGATCTTTCTTTCTTTCACCTTCTATTCGACGTCAATTAAGTATTTTAGAACCAACGCAGGGAGAGCGCTGCCCATGAAACACCGCCCGAGTACGGGTGGACAAGACTTCAAATCAACTTGACTAAAAGCTGTCGAAATGTCTGGGGATCGAAAAAAAGATTGTGGTGATGAATTAAGGCAAGTGCAAAACGTGGTTGGAGCGAAAAACTCTTGCCAGTTGACTAGCGTATCTGGGCTTCAATTGCACCCCATGAAAGCTACATTTTCAGGCCGGTGAATATGCAGTCTTACGTGACTACTGTAGAGCATCTTGATAAGCATAAAGCTTTGTCGCTTGATTGACTGTGCAGTAAATGCCGTGCTTTAAGGGCCTACCATTTCATTTTGGAAGCATGCACTCATGAAATTGCACATAAATTCACACCAAATGTTGTCGCAATTATTAGAACTTTTAGTTGGCTTCATGGGTTTTCTCTCTACGCAAAGGAATCAAGCAGCTAGGATGCATTACGGTCAGTTCCATTCCACAGTACACTTCCCAGTAGTATTATGTCATTTTTGAGCTGTTTTCTTGAAATTTTCCTTTTATACATCATGCTCAAAAGCTTTATAATCATAGCAACTTCACTTA